ACCCACACCCACACCCACACACCCACACGCCGACGCCCACACCCACACCCAGACCCACACACCCACACGCCGACGCCCACACCCACACCCACACCCACACCCTAGTCCAGAAAAATATTGATTCCTTTATACAAGGTCTTATTGTGGTTTTTATTGAACTTATCACAATGTCCACTGGAGTGGACATTCGGCTTTTAAGGGTTAATGGTGAAATGTATGAATCGAAACATGCCATCGAAGCTTATTGTCATTTTCTACGTCTATTAATGCATTTTATTGATATTTATCCTGAATTAGGTAATGAAATATTTTTATAAATTTCACAAAAATTATCGGTTTACCTTTAGATCGTAATATTAACGAAACGATTGAAAATTTTGTAAGACATCAACGAAATCGAAATAAACGAGTCGTACCTGATATTGGTGAATTTTTAATACAAATTGCTTTATCAAAGAAATATAAATTCAATGAAATTAAAAATTTTGTTTATGAAGAATATTTTGCGCGACAAATTTATTGGATTGAACGAAAAAATGTTGTCGATAATTTGTTCAATATACATGTGAGGGATTTATTTTATATCTTTGATGCTGCAAAAGTATCAAATCATCTATTAGTATTCAATTTGGAAATGGCAGATACATTTATTTTTCCTGGTTTCAAAGAGTAAGCTTATTTTTTATATCTTTTTATTCAGAAATTTAGATCGAGCATATGGATATCCACCTGATATTATTGTTGAAAAATTTCAACAACGCTTAAAATCTATTAAAGAAATCAATAAATATAGTCAATTTGTTCAAGTAATAAAAATGAACGATGTTCTGAAATCACCGGATGATATGCTTGGTTTTATAAAAAAAATCAGTAGAAATATCAAATTTACAAGGTTATACGAGAATACGATCACCAAATGAAGGGCAGGATCGAAGATATGATGATCCACAACTAAATCACTGGAATAGTTAATTAGCTATTTTCTTTTGAATACTTCGTGCTAAAGTAACTTTGATATAAAAGGTCAAAACCGAGTCCATCATAGCTGAATTTTCTGTGAACAACGGGTGTGAGTGTGGTGTCGATGCCAAGAGAAGATCGATACCCACACCCAGTAATTTGAAAATCTAAAAAACCACGAAAATTTCTTTGTTTCTGTTTAGTTAACAAGTTTTCATCTCTTGCCAAGAGGATATTTTGAACATGTTTGCATTACTTGTATTTTTACAAATATAAAAAAAATTACCTTGACATTTTTTAGTACTCTCATTATCTGGAAATGTTAAAATGTCATCGTCTTGTTTCTTCATTGAAATATTCATACGTAAAAATATCGTTGTTTGCAATTAGTATATAGTTCTAAGCAATGATGTGGATGAACATCATTTATACGATTGAATTTGAATTGATCAATTTCTGATTGATTTATAGAATTTAAATGTCTACAGCTATGATAAAAAACCAACTCAGGATATGGTTTTGCCTGTATATAAGTTTTGTCATATCTAAACGAAACTTGACTTCTAATTGCATGTGACACAACGATTCTATCTTTATTACCACAGTGTTCATGTTGATTACCTAAAATTGTAAATAATTATATGAATGATCGTGATCATTGACTTAATCATATATAAGTACAAACCCAAATTAACTGAATGATTACTTCTTAGAATAAGAAACCAATACAAGAGTTATTGAATTAAAGACTTTTCGTATCAGATACATTGACAAATAATAATAAATCTGCTAATCGAGAAAATTGTCAATGATAGTATTTATATTCGAATCCGTCTGTGTTGTAAATTTTGAACCTGAACTGAGTCATAGAATGTTTTTGGGATCTTAATCTGATTCACTGAAAGACAACTGTAATATTTTGGCTGCAGGATAGTATATATATATGTGTGTGTTTCCAGATAGACATATTCTATCTCATAATGTATCCATTCTCATGCACTCAGATTGAAATGTCAACGTATGAAGTAGAACTTGATTATCCATATATCAGAACTTAGATTAATTCTATTGATGCAAGCCTACATATATTGTGTTCTATAGTCAAATTTATGGCCGATAAAATGGAGCATTAGCGGGTTCCGTGTTCCCGGGAATCCATCGGTTCCCCCTTGTGTATATGTGTCGTCTCTCCATCCATGTCCACACCTTCAATCGTTTCAAGGATTTGTTTGATAATTCAAAGATGAGGAAAACGTAGTTGATATTATCATCTGTATCAGATTGAACTAGATCAATGAATGTATAACTGAATACTTGAAAGAAGAGTGGCGATGTACTTGATAAAATGAAAAACTGTTTTAACAGGACATGTGACAGTTAAAATAATATTATGAACCTGCCAGATCAGATATTAGAAATATATTTTTGAATACAGAAGTGAAAGATGAATTAAGTTTTATAAAAAGCAGATGAACAAAACTTTCTTGCAATAAATAGTTAGCAGGCTTTTATTGTTTCTAATTGTTCATTTTATTTCATCAAAATGATTTCCATTAGATTTTTTCTAATAAGACAGCGATCCAGTAACGTATTCTACTTTTGTAATTACTAATATTTATCTCAAAGGAATATATTTTTCATCTTCTTGTCTTGTATTAAATTATATCACAATTTCCACGAAACTTTCAAGTCCTCGAAGCAAAGATTTCAAAAACAAAATGATTGAATTTGGAGGATAAACAACTATTAAAATCTTGAATACTTAATTGGACGAGTCGAATAGTTGAGTATGAACATCTCTATCCGTACCATTTTCTGTCACAAGTTTCCAGTAAGAATTTCTATTCCATCTCCCTAAGTGAACCCTTATGATCGAGTACCGTAGAGAACTGAAGATGTTTTGCCTCACCAACTGAAATTCTTACTATTTCATAATGATCGGAAGACTAATACAAATTCATGAAACATTAAACTTTGCATCTTTCAAAATCACAGTTATAAGGCCATGTTTTCGTTCTTCACTTGACAATTATCAAACGAGAAAATATTGCAAAATCTTTGCTTCATTCTTATTACGTCTGAGAGAATGATATCAACATTTGAAACATCAAGCCTTTAATCATCGTCTGTTTTCTCTTTTCGTGTAGGTGATCGTCGTCGCCAGACATGGAAAAACTAATTCATTTCTATACACTGACCTAAATCTACATCATTACTAATTGATATATTGTATTTTCTCTCACTTGTCTTTGATCAGTCTACTATACTACTTCTTTTGAATATATTTCTCTTTTTTATCCCATGATTTTTCTTACGCTTCATTTTACTCTTATTTTGTTTTCTTTCAGAAGATTGAAAGTTCTAACATAAGAAATACAACAGAGAAAATGAGGTTATTGTTTTAGGATGGGGTTTTGTCCATCGAAATTCGGCAACATACCTGACCAAAGTTCGAAAATTTTGTTAGCTTCAAGTTCTGTCTTTCATTCCTCTTTTTTCAAGACATGACTCATTCAACCGATCATGATTTCATGCGTTTTTATGCGAATTCATCTATCCTAGAAAAATTAACATGCTGTTTCACATATTTCCCCATCGATTAACAGCTAGAAATTTATCTAAAAACGCCTCGATACATAGACGATCACTCTCCCGAAACAAATCAGAAAAGATCAGTCCGAAGAAACGATTACACAAATCAAGATGAGTCATACGTTGTATTATTTAACCGTTCAAAAGAAAACGTGCTACTCTTTAAACATCAATAACTTGGCACATCCAACTGGGGCGATCCATTCATTATCGGCTTTCAGAGTAATGGTATATTTTTACCTTTGTTGGAAAGAAGTAAAAAGATTAGATTGCTGGGCATATTAGTGACTGACCATATTCAACAGCTACATGAAGATCCGCGAAGAGTAAAACACGTAAACACTCTTTTAACGTCTACAACAGTTAAAAACAAATTACTGAAGCACAGATTGAATCAGTGGATCACAATGCAACTAGCATAGATGTAAAATTAATATGGCTTCATAGCACAGCACCATATCTTATCCAAAAAACATTGAAGACTGTTGAATTGGGATATTGCAAACAAATATAACAACTCTGTGACAAAGAAAGCCAAGGATTGTATAAAATTACTGCTCGACAATGTATATCAACCACTACAGAGTCGGGCTAAAGCTTTATTAAATGAGACAAAAAATCACCTGTCAGAGATTTCAGATCGCATAGATGAACGAGAGCGGGATCAAGGGACTCAAGATTATTATGACGAATATATAAGACATGACAGCGATCAAGATGAGAGTGAAGATATTGATGAATCGATCTATGGCGATCAGTCAGATAATAGCGATGATCAGTCCAAACCTGGGAACTCATATTCTTTGGAAACGCTCGAGTATGACAAGAAGTCAGTTACCGAGACCAAACATTGTATTAAAAATTTTGATCGTGCCACAGACTATCAGCGTTTGTTATCATCGATGGATCTATATAGTCTTTGTAAATTTATAGACGATGCGAGTAACGAAGTTAGTGAACATGACAATAGAATAAGTCAATATCCAGATGAAGATGGCGATCAACTCGCAGAGGGTCTCTTGAGAACAGCGAACATGAGTTAGATACAATCATAGAACGAAATTTAATTTCATTTGATTCGATACTTTAAGCGGAGGATATTGTAAAAATCATCGAAAACAATATTTACAAAACCAATGAAAAATTGAGAAAATATGAACATTATATGACCCAAAAGAAGGACTACCAACTCAAAGAAAAACGCAGAGGGATTGTTTTAGAAGTTAACAAATATGTCTCACAATATGGACATACTAAACGGTATCCTTCGTTGTATTTCATTTACGCGGGTTTCGAATTAATGTAACGGGTGTCCCAGAAAGAATGGGCCTCTCAGTATTTTTACGATTTCTCGTCTATTATTCGTGTGATTAAAGTCATTTTTATTATCAAAAGATAGCGCTTGAAATTTTCTACAAAACCATATAAGACTACATCCAAAGACAGTTTTAGATATATTTGAAAAAAGACGAAAACTGAAGGCATACAAACACCTGTAAAAAGTAAATAACGGGTGTTCCATAATAAATGGTCGTACTTTGCATTATATATTTTAATTTCTAAGTACGTTTTATTTAAAAAACAAAATATACCACTAGACACAACGTGGAAAGCTCTACAATCTACAAACTAATGTTTATTTTAATTATATACTTTTTGTTTTCAGAAAGGGCAAAACTCTGTGTGACGAATTTTCTTCATTGTGAAAAAATTATTATTTTTACACGAACGAGAATTTCTTTTCCTTATTTTATTGTTCCATGATCTAGCATGTTTTCTTAAAAAAAGAAAAACATAATACAAGATGCAGCGTAAAAAACTCTATAGGTTAGAAAGAGCAGTTTATCTTATTTCTGTACTTTTTATGTTAAAAAGACTCCAAATTTTGTGCGATCGGTTTTTGCAACGGCGAACATCGGTCGCACAGAGTTTTGCTTTTTTTTTGAAAACAAAACGTATACAATTAAAATCGACTTTAGTTTAGATTGTAGAGCTTTTCACGCTGTACCTAGTAGTATATTTTGTTTTTCTAATAAAACGTATTTAGAGATTAAAATATGAAATGCAAATTGTGGCTGTTTCTTATGAATCACACATTTATTTTTTACAGATGTTTGTATG